AGAGTTATAAAGTGGTTCGCTCGGGCTAGTACATAGGGGTGGGCATATATCGGGTAAAACCGATAACCCGAACCGTTAATTATTTATTGGGTTATCGGTATTGGGTTATTGGGTTAACGGTTCGGTAATGGGTTAAATTTTTTTTTTATTGGGTTGTCGGTTCGGGCTCGGTTTGGCAATTCTGTTATTGGATAAAACCGATAACCCAATAAGGATTAACTAATTTACTAGTTTACCCTTAAGTATATACATACTAGGGTTTCATAATTCATAGTTCGCTCTTTGATTTCCCTATTCTTTCTCACTTTCTCCGCCTCACGCCCTTACCAGTCAGCCCGTCAAGACTCAGGCCGGTGTCAGTCGCATTTCGCAGCTTCTTTCTTTCACTCTTCAGTCGCATCTTCACTTTATTTCTTGGACCCATCACATTCTTCAGTCGCATCTTCACTTCACTCTTCAGTCGCATTTCTCAGTCGCATTCTTCAGCTTCATCTTGATTCTTCGTGTAAGTTTTTAGTTGCTTCATCTTCATCTTTTTCTTAGTTTGTTTGAAAGCATTCTAGCTCTGGATTTTTCTTAGTTTATTTGAAAGCTGAAGTGAGATTTGTTGTGTGCTTTAATTGTTGAATTGCTACGAAGTTATCTTATGTCAGTTGTTATAAAATTTGTATTTCATAACTAATAAACTTGTATTTTTATTCATTTAGATCCCTTGTATTTGCAGAAAGTGTCGAAGTGAAAATATGACTGATATTCTATTTTTTCATCACTGACTGATATTGGGATTTTTGTTTATATTTTTTTGGGTTGAAGAATAAAAGATAGAAACTTTGGTTAGTGTTAATTTTATTGGATGTTGCAGTAAATTTAAATTCTTGTGAAATAGAACAGTTCTGAAAAGAGTTTTAGCAAAACAGTTCTTAAAATCTTATAAAACTGCTTTAGCAAAAAAGTTTTATACCGAAATTGTTTTATACATTGCGAAACTATTTTAGTTGTTTTATCTTATCGGGTAAACCGATAACCAAACCGATAATGATCGATAACGGATTAACCGATAACCGATAACCAATATCTTATCGGTTTGGTTATCGGGTTATGATATTTGTAAATCGATAACCGAGAATATTCATAACCGAACCGAACCGACCGATGTCCACCCCTACTAGTACAGCACTGAGTGCCAGCCACGCCTCCCCAGGTTGTGGCATGACAGTATTGTATTATATCGTTTTATGAATACTATGCTTGGGTAGATTGTATCGTATGTTTTTGTTAAATAATATTTTTGCTGTTAGATTTGACTGTATCATATTGTACTGTAACCGATAAATTTACGAAAATACCCTCAATTATTTTAAATAGTAAATTTATTAAGAATTACATATAAAAATATTGAAAGTAAAAATATAATTTGTGCCTCAAATAGAGAAAAAATAGTTTGAAAACTAACTTGTGGCAGATATTTGCAAATTACGGACGTTATTGTAATGCCTTCCAAAGCTAAGTACGAATCACAACTTGGAGTGAAAACGACGGCGAAAATAATACGTAATACGTATTTGGGTGGAGTAAGTATAAAATAGAATTATGCAGTAATAAGTAAGGACACAATTGGAAAGAAAAATATAAAACAATCTCACCATACCGATTAGGTTGTTTCAAAAAATGGAGTTTTTTATTGTTCCAGAATAATAGATTTAACAATACAATATACAATCAATTTTAAATAAACAATTAAAATAAATATTATTTAGGGATAACAATACAATATAATGAGTAACAACCATCCAAACGAGCTGTTAATGTTCAATGATTGAAAGAACAAAAAATCAACCTTTGGCAATCCATAAATGTCTTATGGCCAAGAACTTCAACTTACCCATAAAGGAATATCTATTATATCATTTATAAGCATCACAATTTATGGGTAATTGAGTATACATTCAATCGTTATTTTGGTATTAAATATTCATAAAGATTTGATCACTCTGGTGATTAACAAATCTAATGAATTCCAAAGAGGATAAAGAAAATAGTAATTTTCTTTAAGTTTCAGTTACTGTACAATATAGGTACAAACACTTCGAAACATAGCAGTAGACTGCTGAAGCACAACATCAAGCAAATCATCCACTTACTGCTAATTCAAACTTGATTAAATTATAACCAAATATTTTTCTTTAGTTTAATATTTTATGAGTTCATAGTCATAAGAAGACTCCATACTAGGCACGTAGATAAAGAAACAAAGTATAATTCCAATATAACTCTATTTAAGGAATAACAGATCCATTCAAGGTCTAAGGCCAAAAGCTTTTACTTTAGAAGTTAAAAGCTTCAATATTAAATGATCCACAAAGATTATATTCTCAATTATTTGGTTGAAAAATATGGAGAATCTTTCATAATTAATCATCAAAGATGGAAAATAATGGACACGTAAATTAATTATCCTGTGCAGAATCTTATGAACCTTCGAAATACTTTTTAATTCAATCAGTATCCGAAACAATCAAGTGGCATACTTAGTTGTAAAGAAAGCATTAATTTTAATGGAAAATCATAAGTTCCTAAACCTTGGGCTTCTGATACCACATATATGATTTTCCATGTTCAAAATTATAGTTCATAAACAATGTATAAAAAATCTTATCAATTATTTAGAACTGTGGAACTATATGATTTCACATAAAATACATTAATAATAATTTCAATCAAGAAAACTTTACTGAATCCATAATGTGTTTTCTTGATAATATTGAGCGGAAACCTTATTCAGAGTTGCTATTCTTGAGAAAAATCAGTATTTCTCTCTCTTTATCTTTTTTTGTGTAGAGTGTGATGAAGTTATGTTGTTCTTCTTTCAATAGATAGAGAGGGACCATCAGTTAATTCTCACTTTCCATCAAAGTGGGTTAGTGGGGAGTTATAACCATAATTAACTTCCCCTAATTTTATCCAAATACTACTTTAGAAAAATATATTTATGGAAAGGCTAAGAAAACTACAGATTCATGTTGATAATGAGTATTGCTGCTTATGTGATCAACTGACTGAGGAATCATCTCGACACTTATTTGCTGATTATAGCTGGGCAAGGAAACTTAGAGCAGAAATACGACAATGTGTAGAAATTCAGATTCTGGAAGGTGATGTGCAGCAGACACTAATAGATTCAAGGATAGACATTGGCAACAGTTTAGAAAAGAGATTGTAGCAGCAATTTGGAGTGCAGGGATATACCACATTTGGAAAGCTAGAAATTGGAAATTGTTTAGGGGATTCAATGTAAATATAGACATGGTAGTAGTACAGATAAAAAAACAGTTTATAGATAGAATAGAACATATTAGGATGGCAAAGAAAGCACGATGCTGTCAAGGACTACTTCAGAAAATACTTGTATAGATTAGCTATGTTGGAGGCTTATATTTCATAGTACACCTTGAGGAAGGTGGCTATGTAATCTTAGGTGCTCTGTAGGTATATTGTTTTTTGTTTGTTGTTAATGGTAATATTTACATTGTTACCAAAAAAAAATTATTAAACCAAAATATTTAATAGGTAGAGAGAGTTAAACTTGAGTACAACACTCAAAAGTCAAATTGTTTGCTAAGAAAACATAGACTTTTGGACAGTATTTGAATAAAAGTCTGTCTTTGAATAGCGGTCTTAGCCCAAGTACACTTTGGACTGGGTTGGACAATGACTCATTTATTGACCTAATCCATCTTGACCTGCTCAAATTCAGCCCAACCCACCCATTTGTCACCCCTACATTAAATATAGTGACATCTGTAGTCATCAAATCCTGGATCCACGCGTAGAGACAAAAGTGTGTCGAAGTAAAAGAAGGTCAACATTTTGATATTCGTGGAATAGTCAGATGAGTTTAAGCAAGACGTATTCTTATTGGAGACCGAATATGGATATCTATATTTCACATGTTCTTAGGAAGCAAACTCCTGCTTATGTTAAAGAGGAAGCGGGAAACTGAAACAGTTGATCGTAAAGTCCGACAAACTGGGAAAACGTGCTTCTGTTAGTCCTCGAATGAAGGATCTATGTCTCCTCCAATTGCTTCTAGTTGGTCAGGTGGATCATCACAGATAATCATTCGTGAGGAGTCACAATTGGGGCTTAAGACTGCTGGCCTTCAGGGCAAGAAGTATTGATGATAAATCAATAGAGGGTAATGGGGAGCAGAAACTATGCCTTTGTGAGTGAAAGTTCCAGTTGTACACATGATAATTTAGATATAGAATGTCAAGGAATATATGGGGAGTTATAGAAGAAGGTTTTTATGACCAGTCCATTATAGCATCCTTCCCTAGCCAGGAGCTGCTTGGTACTTGTGAACAATTGTGCTCTAGAAGTGCCCCAGCCTGTCATGTTATGGCGATTGACAAAAAGTTGGAGGACGAAGATGAGCTGCTCAACTGCGACGTGTCTCTCTGTTTGTGAGTTTTCACTTGGGATTAGTAGCTAATGGCCATGGGCGACGCAACAACCCATTAAGGGCGGTAACTGACAACCCTTTGTCGAAAAATAACATTGTGTATATAGGTAAAAAAATTAGGTTTTATGAGTATAAAACATATATTGAATACCCTTTATCTGAAAGTTTGGAAGGTTTGGGTCTTCACGGGGTGATATAGGCTTGGCAGACCTGATTTCTTAACTGGGCAATGAATGTCGAAGTGAGAATGGAGCAGTGCACAAAGCATCAGCTAAAACAGGCAGTATCAGCAGCATCAAAACAACAACTAAGGCATCAAATTTCCGTCACTACAAATCCAACCAACAAAAGAACCAGCAAAAGGGGTAAATGGAAGCAGCTCCACCAAATTAGCTAAACCAGAACTCCCCAGACAACAAAAATCAACAATAGCAAAATTGAAAAACATCACCGGTAATTGATAAATCTGAAGTGACTGTTTGAAATACAGGACAAAAAGTAGCTATACCATGTAAATAATCTGATTAAAGTAGCGTATCTCCTTCGGAGTCACTCGAATAAACTACAAAACCTCAAATAATTTATTCGCATCATTGCCAACTCAAATAAACAAAACATTTAATAAATAAGATTACACTTGGTGAAAGAAAGCTAGGCTATGGTCAAGAGGCTCTTTATATAAGGCATACAAGTAAATCTCTTTGACCCTTGTGGACCTTCAATTTTCCTCAAATTATTATGATCCATATTATACATAAATAACCCTCTGTTATACCAATAAAGTACCAGTTCACCCTCCAGGAAGTCCAAAGGCTCTATTTGCCAAGACATGTACAAAATCACTTCCCAATATGTATGACCAAAAGGCAAACTGCAATCGATACCTTGGTTATTAAAGACAAGATTAACCTTGAATCTTTTGGTCCATACCCATGTTTCATAGTCCTCCAAGATCCATATATCCATTGCATTCTCAAAGATAAGCAATTGGCAGAAAGACAAACACTCTTCCTTCACTAAGAGAGACATTGTATGATGTGTTTTCCATGAGCTACATACACTTCCGGGATGAGGCATAATGGAGAGTTCTTCCTTATCAATTTTGAGCACCATGATTCCATTGGCACAAGGAGGAGTATTTGGTTTCACTAAATCTTTGCTCACGATCAAATGCACTGCTCCATTGACAACTGCAGGAGAGACACGCGGCAAAAAGTTGGAAGTGGGTGAATGAATTTTCCTCCACGTCTGTGTCCTGACAGTGTATATGAAATACTGACACTCATGAGATCCTTCTTCTCGTGCATAAAGAAGCTTGAATTCTCTTGTTAACGAACAATAATAAAAAGCACACAAGTAGCCAGGGTGGAATTTATGTTGTACAGTTACCTCCTCTTGTGTTATTGGGTTGAAAATAAAATAAGTAGGGGGTGAAAATACATCCATGAACAGAAGAACTCCTTGACAAGAATATCGAAATAAAGGATTGAGCTTATTGACCTTGTTGATCATAAGCTCACGTTTGAGAAGTACTTTCCTGAACGTGATCTTCTCCTTATTATTAAGGCTTTCATCAAAAACAAAAAGGTTCTGCTCGTGATTGGTAATACCGCGATCACATTGTATGATTAGTACGGGTTTAGCTCTTCTGAGATATAAGGTGGCAAAATACTGTGATGAGATCAATGCCTTCCACACCCTGCAATCTCTTTGACATCTAACAAGGCAATCTTCTGGAAGTCTACTAAGGATGTCAATGATGAGACAATCAGGCAAACGTGTAAAAATTCCTTCATCTTTATGTCTTAACTTATGAACCAGTGAACCCAAAAGTTGTGTAATCCAAGTGAAGCACTCAAGTGACATGACCTATAAAGCACAAGATAAGAAAATAACTTTTCACAGTGAAATGTTGTTCAAAGTATTCAGAGAAAGCTAGGTAAAATTGATTAAAGAAACTCATCATGGAATAATGAAAGGACAGTGGTATCAAGGAAACTTAAGATATATCATCAGAAAAAAACTTGGGTTCAAACAAAGCTGTATTCGAATGACACAACCAAGTACTAATGTCAGGAAAAAAAAAAAAAAAAGAAGTAGCAGAGTAACAAAACAGTAACTTCAAATCAATAAGCAACAATACTCTGCTGCGGAGGTAGAATATTACCGGCGTTCAGGATACCAAAAGCTAAAACTTGGCGGCTCTAGGTTAAGGCAAGAAGGCTCCCAAATATTCGAAGGCCCCCAAAAATATAAAGAACTACTATATCATTATATATATATATACACAAATTCCCTAGAGAAATGTCATTCGCTTTTTTTATCCTTTAAAAATATATGTTATACCGGACAAAATAGTTATTTGTAATTTCTCTAATATTTAGGGCTTTAATTATTTCTATAATATTTAGGACTTCCAACTTAACTAAATTTTATGTATTGAACTTTTCCTTATTTGATTATATGTTATATAACCATATTTGTAAAAGACGGTATATAATCATACTTGTGAAAGAAGTCCATGTTTGTAGGGTTAGAATCTTTAAAAACAAGAACTGCAAATTGAACATAGTTATCGACTTATCGTACAAGTTTTGGGTGTCGAACATCTTGATAAATTTAGGAATACTTTTTGTTTTAGAAAAAAAAAAAGGAATACTTTTTGTTAATAAAATTCTTAGTATAATTCTAAAATTTCAAGATATGTGTATTCTCATTAAATATCAAATAATAGAAGAAATTAAAATCTGAAGTCTAAGCAAATTTCTTTATTTCTCCAGTTTAGTAGGCTTTTTCACCAAAAAAAAAAAATATATTAAATAGATGAAAAAAGAAGAGGAAATAAACGAAATTTATAAAGAGAAAATTAAAAGAAACGAAAAAGAAGTAAAAGACGGATTAAAGAAGAGGATGATTAAAAAAATATTGCAATTTCATATTTGGGGCAGCGTGGAACACTTTGTACTCCTTTTAGGTTTAGGAATCCTTTTTTATAATAAAATGTGGAAGGTTTGAATAAATTTAGAACTCTCATAAAATAATATTGATAAAGAAATTATATATACACACACAAAACACACACGTACTCAAGTGTTCATTTAAAGTTTAATTTACGGTTTACCGTGCAATCAAACAATACTTCTTTGATAGTGGAGCATGTATGAGAACAAATTTAATAAAGAACCACTAAAGTAGATCAACCCCTAAATGTGATCAATATAATTTTTATTTTAGAACTTGCGGTTTTTTGTACTTGTATTGCTTTTAGAAATTTGTTGGTATTAATATGTGGGACACGCTCAATTGCGTACATTAAAACTTAAATTGTTATTTCTCTAATATTTTGGACTTCAAAATCAGTTGAAGTTTTTCTTATTTGAACTATGTAGGAATTTCTAATATTTAGGAATATAAAATCAAGGAGAATTTTACTTGAATTGCCAGCTATAATTCAATTTTACTATAATTATGTTTACTAGCTCTTTGAAATAGATTCATCATCTCGTAATTTTGTAAAGATCAGTTATTGTAGAATTGATGGTCAAATATAATAAACTTTATTTCACTGAATAGTTGGGAAGTGTTTCTGTCTATCTTCTTTTTATTATTTATTATTTTAGAAATGGTTAGAAAAAAAATGTTATTTCCAACTTTTTGTCTCTTTATTTTTATTTGTTGGAATAAATCTATCATTTTAGACTAAATCATATAGCAATAAATTTAATGTAAACATATGAAATATACTACATATCAATTAGTTGTATTGTCTATCTAATTATGTATTTGACTCTTTACTTCTAATTAGGTTGAGACTAATAAATGTTTTAGACTTGGAAAACAAGTCTAAAATAAACTTCCTTTGATGTCGCTTAATTTACTTTAATAATTTAACAGAGTAATTTTTTCTTCAATACCAAATATTTAGCAATTTTTTGTGTATAGTCTAGATACATATTTTAAAAAAACATCTTTTAATAATCTCAAAAACATATTTCGAATATTATTTATGTTGATTTTAAAATGATATGTCTTCATTAATCGGGGTACAAGCGCAATGCGCGTACTCAAAAAACTAGATTGGGATACTATACTAAAAGCACAAAGACCTTTAGCGAAATGTCGTTCGCCATTTTTATCCTTCAATAATAGAGTTCACATTGGACAAATAATAATTTAAGTTATTTGCTTAATATTTGGCAATAGTTATTTTAATTGATTTCCTACTATTTAGGAGTAAGTTACCTTTTAGGTTTAATTTTTTTTTTGTTGGGTTAATGAATTAGGAAATTTCGCATATTTTGGAGTGTTAAATATCTCTTTTTAGGTTTAGGAGGGTAACATTATTAAATTCTTGCAATTCACATTAGGTTTTGTTTGCTTTCTAATTTCATTTATATTTAGATTTCTCCTTTTAGGTTTAGGAAGGATTTTTATTTAATAAATTTTAGGATTTTTTTTGTTAATAACGTTTTGATAAATTAATTCTTTATAAATATATGTTAGGTAAAACGCGAGCATTTTGAACTCAGTTTAGGAGTTTTTATTTTTTTAATAATTTTTTTGTAATGTTTAACTATATATAATGTGACTTTACATGATTCTTGTTTTGAATTGCACACACGAGTACTTCTAAAAAAGAAGTTACAATTCCAGTTGTCATCATCAAACGTTATTGTTCAGTAGCAGCTACAAAATTAAGGGTTTTTATGTTCTTTTTCTTTGACTTTGAGCAAAAAAAATTTGTAGTTGAAATTTAAATTCTCATATTTATATTAGTAGTTATATTTTGCATTCACGCATTTGTATTAATAGTTATATTTTGTATTCACGTATTGTGTTAGTAGTTAATTTTTTATTCACTATTAGCAACAAGGCTTCTTTCTTTTTTTTTCTTTTTTTTTTAAAATTAAAATAAAACCAAATATGATGAGTAGTGGGATCCGGAGCTAAGTCTTGGCTAAACCTTGGATATACAAGTGGATTACCTTTGAGAGTTAAGTCGAAGATCACTATGGTCTTCTGAATAATTACGGTTGCAATTTTCTTTCATAATGTTTTCTTATGGCCTCACATCTAAAACTCGACAAAGCTGCTTACCTTTCTCTCGATGCTATAAGATGGAAGTACGTCGAGTGTAGGACTTTCTCAATCTCCGTCCAGACGAATTTGATTTCTTATTTCATTCCTTCTTTGCTCCTGGAAACATATCAAGATCAAGGATGTTAAAAAGACAGAGTCAACCGAGAGATCAAAGAGTTATTTTTTTCCTTTCTAAAGTGACATTCTCTCTTCTATCTATTGTTGATACCCAATTTTTTTCTATATATTTTTAATATACAAAATACCTTCAAAATAGCATATATAAGCATGACCAAAGTTTTTATTATTTTTCCCATAATTAAAAGGGATTAAATTGACTTATTTTCTCCTTTTTATCCATAAAATCCCCAATAATTATTTCCAAAATTATTGTTTTGATAATTCATCTATTTAATTTCTATATTTATGCCAAAATATGGCTAAGGTAATTTTTATATATTTTTACAATTACACTTAGTATTTTTAAAGCTAAATTGCACATAATTGCAATATTAGCCCTTTTAAGATTTAATTATGTTTTATATACATAAAATTGGATCCTGTATTTTTAAATTGCTAATTATGTATTATAAATCATTAGCATTTTTAAATTATTTTCCAAAAATTATCTACTATTTTTTATAAATTAAATAAGGAGAAACTGACTATTTAAATTATAGCCAAATTGGCTTTCAATTATAGCCAAATTAACCCCAATTCCCAGCCCAATTTTACAATTTAAAAATCCGACCCACACCCCATTAACCCATACCCAAGCTCGGAACCCACCTACCCCATTTAATCTCGACCGTTGATCTACCAAATCAACGGTCCACGTTATTCCCTTCCATAATTAATCCCAAACGATCCCCCAACCCCTTTCATTCTCACCACACTCCGCCGCCCTCGTTCCCTCATCTCTTCAGTTCTCTCTCTAAGACCTAGACCAAATCCTAGCCGCCGCCACTCAAAACCAGCCCTAATCCCTTCGATCCTCACTCGATCCATGGATTCCCATGGCTGTTTGAGACATCTACTTGTCTCCTACGTCTCCTGGTTGCTCGTTTTTGTGATTTCATGGAAGGATCTCAAAGAGATTTAGTCCAGATCTTGTTCAAAACTCTCCAAGAGTCTGTCTATGGTCTGTGAGTGCTTTCTATCGATGTTTTACTTTTCAAATCCTTGATTCGAAGGCTAGATTCTCTTACCCTTTCTCTTTTCTCCAAGAAACCCAATGTTTGGACTTGAATTGGTTCAAATCTCCGTATATCTGGAACGATCCTCGGTTCATCGTTGATTTTCCTAAGTTCCTTTACTTCTTTACTAGTTAATCGATGTCTGGACATTTTTGTTATATTAGGGTTTTGTTGGTCGAGCCTCTAGGTATCTGAAACATTTTTAAACTTCCATGACTACTCTTCTGGGTTCTTTTACTCCTTTACTATTGACCGATTTTTAAACACTACAATACTTCAGGTTTTGACTTCTATGACTTTTGTTTGTTCGAATCTTTATATGTCGACATGCCTTTAAGTTTTCTTCTTTAAGTATTTTCAAACTAGGGTTTTATCCCTTTAAGTTTTCTGCAAAAGTTCTAAAGTGTTTGACGGTGGTTCTCTTTACTTGTTCGACTGATTCTTCATATCTATGTTTTAATCCCTAGGGTTTCTGCTTATTTCACTCAATATTTTGCTCGTTATTCGTTAGTTCTGTCAATTAAAAGGGTTTGACTGATTTTATTTGCCTAATTAGGGTTCAAATTATATTTTTGCCGAGATTGGTACATCTCTATGATTTCTTTTCTTATTTGTGACTTATGACTGGTACTACTTGCCTTAATTGGTTTATTAGCCTGATTTATAGGATTTAATTGCTTTAAACCGACTCCTAGAGGGTCTTTGATTGATTTGTTTACCTTATTAAACATGTAACTTGGTTGTTAATTGATTCTCCCTAATTTAAGGGGAGCTTTCCATATTCTGTTGAATTATTTGATTGGGTTTAGCTCCAATTAACTATTTAATTTTACCTGCATACGTTATTTGGAACTCTTAATTATTCTTTGCCTTATTTGTTTTACCCTGCTAAGTGCTATATAATCTCCCCATTCTAACTTTTGAAAAAGACGAACAATTAGTTCAAAAACACACATACACAC